AAGTGCTGAAATAATCGGAAACGTCGAGCAGTTTCTTGTCGTTTCAGTCTTGTATGAGGATTTCATTGTTTGTCCAGGTGAAGTCCTAGGTAAGGGATTTGTTCAACTGGGATAAGTGGGGAATTGTTAAAGGATACTATAGAATAGGAGGTCATAGGTTTGCGGCGCAGGATAAAGGTAATTTGATGGGATTTATTGAAATTTATTTCAATCCGTCAGTTTGCACACCTTCACCAGTTTCACATCACACCAGTTTTCAAGGTTTTTGATATGTGATGAGGTCAACGTTAAGAGGGAATTTCATGAGGTCTAATAAGGGCGCTGAGCAAAGATATGCTGTTCGTGTATGGGCACTGATAATAGTAAATTTAATTACTGTTTTCTAAAAAAAAAAAAGTGTACTTCGAATTGAATTATCTTCAACAGTTTTTGAGCAATTCCTTCTAATTCAATAAAAACCGGGACCATACAAAATTGATCTTGAAATCTTTTTCATTCGGAATCGGCCCATACATCAAGTGTACTTTTTTGTTGGAAATTTCATCTGAAATCACCATCCAGAGATTGGCCATTAAGTTCTGAGACATCCTTTATATGATACAAAAATAATCTTAATAATATTATACATTCGAAATAAGTTTTGCAAAATATATCTTTTCTTCCTCCCCTAGCAGTTGATACCACCCAGATGTCCGCAGGTTACAGGACAAGAACGAGATGGAAGGACATTCTTCTTCTCGACCGCCGCCCCATTGAGGACCGCCCTAGATGTCATCCAGGACACGCCGACGTAGGAAGTGGCGTAGAAAGTGGTCAGGTGTGGGCGGCTACAGTTAGATGGTTGGCGGAGGCACTCGGAAATGTCTTCGCGGGTTCTGCCTTTGTCCCATTTCTTCAAAGAAGCCATGTTTACATTTTCGTGAAAGTCGTCTCTTCCTACTTCCACAATGGGAAAGAGAAGAAGAAGAAAATGTTTCGTACATATTTCGGTGATTACAACGGTCCCTAGTAACTGTACTCATTGTCAAACAAGAGAAAATTTCTTGTTTATTCAAATGAACATAAATTAAACAAAACAGAACGGGTGATATATATGTACTCCTTCATTTAACTACACATGAACGTTCCGTCAAAAAGTGGATTTTGTTTTAGAAAAGAATAAAAAATCATCTTTATTCTGGGACTAGGTCCCTTAAAAATTACAGTATTATTCATATAAATCAACAAGAAAACTGGCCAAAAGACCTATTACAATAAAGAATAACTAAAATACGAGTTATTTACTTTTTTTAAAAATATATATTCTTTATTTTCATATGGGCTTAGTAGAGCATAAATGGGTTTATTAACAATAAGAAAATTTTTAACAGTTGGTAAAGTAAGTTGGGTTACTGTCTTAAACAAAAGACACCTCTAACGCTACATGATGTCTATAACTATAGACTAATAAGTTTGTTAAGTAAATGATATATAATACAGTGTATAAAGTTTAAAAAATAAACAAATATATAAAATAAATAAAAGATGTTAGTGATTGATTTGTTTTATTTTCATTTAACTTTAAATTTTCTTTTAAAAGTATTTAATTTTAAAGCATACTTACTTTGTTATTATAATTTATTTCATCTTGAGGTGTTTATACTATTTTTGTTTATTTATTTATCTTATTTATTGAGTATGAAGCTATATATATTGTATATGTTATATAAACATAACGCCTGCAACCCAAATACATGTTGCTCTTCAACAAGGCAATTGCAAAAATATAAATAATGTATCTCATCTCCAAATCTCTTCTAAACCTTTGAAATTCAGAAGCGTTAATGTTTTTGTTTTTTCAAACTAAAACTTTGTAAATAAATAGTCCAGCAATAATTAATAATAAAAGAAAATTTATGAAGTTCGTAGTGATGTGTTTAAATCGAATAATTCTGGTCGAATTGCTGACCTTGAACGGCCATAATCCTTAGATCTTGAAATTGTCTCTGTCCTTTAATCTTAAACGAAAAGCCAGCAACCAATGCATCGGCATTAACTGTATGGTTCAATAATAGTAGTAATTTTAATTAATTAACATACTTCTCAGTATTTTGTTCATTTAATTGTTTTATAGCTAATAGTGTGTTTTAAATTTTGGCAGATCTGTGTTGATTTAAGAGAATATTAAAAAAAAAGAATATGATCGTTGTAGTAGAGTGCTAAAAAAAAAAAAAGAACAATAACATCAAGAATAATGTACATCTTCCATTACTTGCGTTTTATGACCTCTTTGTGTTCTTGTCTGACTATCATAATCAATCTTGTGTCGAATCTCAAAACGATTTTACATCATATATTTTAGTTTTTTGAAAGTATTTACGTTTTTAACTAAGATATTCTGTTTCCTGAGACTTGCTATGCGGTAGTGAATTCTCCATTGGCTTCGCCATGTCAGTTTGGGAATGTGGGTTGACGGTGGAAAGCGGAAAACAAGATAAATGAAACCTCTTTGGCAACTTTCTTCCGCGGGTTATCAACTGAAGCTATTGTGGGTGACCGAACGCCGCGCGTTTCGTGACGCAGTGTGTGTGTGTGTGTGTGTAAGAAACGGGTTAAAGCAACCTGCTTCTTCAATCAATGGAAAAAATCTTCTATGGGTACTTCAAAGAGTTTTATTATTTTTAATTGGAATAATCTTAAGTAATGTTATATATTTCCATTCATAATTAGACGAGAAAAAACATTATATAAATATCAGAATGTAGAATTTTATATTTATTTAGTAGATAATTAATTTATTTAGTCAAATAGAGTCCTTGAAATAATAATATGGGATCCTCTTTTTTTTACCTCCACTTCCTCAACTTAAAGGCAATACGGGGTATTCTTGGGCCATTGACGAGAATTAATGTCAGAGCTAAAAGACCCCTAGTACCGGGACGCGAACACTTGTAATTATTTTATCATATGATATTGCTCCAAATGGCTACATAACTGTTCATTTTAATTTTACTTTTCACACACACACACACATATATATATATATATATATATATATATATATATATATATATATATATACATTTTCTAGCACAAATGTTGGAATTTCGTGTAAAAACTTTCACAAATATGTTATCAGATGTTCAATAATAAATCTGTTATTAGTTACTATGTATACTTTTATACATTATAATACATTTATATATTATAATACGTATTACGACACGTTCATCGCTCCTGAGAATCCGAAAGCGAATCAATACTACTGTTAAATATATAGTGTAGATTCTATTTATAATGGGTGTCCCAAAATTAACGCAAAATTTAAATTAAATATTTTAAAAAATCTCGTTTTTTTGTTTTCTTTTTCTATGTCAATTTAACAGCTGATAGTTTAGGGTGCTAAAAATAGAGTGTTATTCGGATGAACAACGTGTTTTCATTTTTGATCATTTTAAAAATAATGAAAAAGTCTTGGGGTCACAGATCGAAAATTTCCGTAAAAATATGCACGTAATAGTGATTTAAATTCATCAATTGTGATTTTGAACACACTGGTCGTCCAAAAACAAGGCGTTCAAGCTTCGATATCTATAAGTAAGAGAAGTGGCTGCAAATACATTTATTATTTTTAAAATATTGTTCGACAATGAAAAGACGTTGTTGGCTCGTATAACGCTCCATTTTTATTATCCTTAAACTATCAGCTGTTAAATTGACAAAGATAATATGATGGGTAATTAAAATTAGAGCTGATGTTTTGAACTTAAATTATAAACACTTCAAGCAAACAAATAATATTTGTAGCATGTGTAATACAAACGAAACAGAAGATCACTATCATTTCCTGGCTGCTTGTACGATACTCACTGAATTTAGAATTAAATGGTTAAATGTTTTTTTAAATTATTTTTATTTGAAAATTAATACATTCTATCGCATTGGAGGGCATTAATATTAGGGCTACATTAAACATTCGCAAATATATACATATAAATGATAAGTAAAATAGATATAAAAGAAAAAGAGTTTAACATACATAGGTAAAAAAATAATAATAAAAAAAAATAAAAAAAATAGAGAAAAGCTAAATGAAATTGAAATATATACAACACCTATATACAATATTTTCATTCGCCCAAAGGATTCTGAGCCATGCTTTGTCCCCCAAATGTGGAAGCCAAGGCAGGACCCCAGGAAATCCCAGTGCTTCTCTCCCAGCCGCGTCACTGGTATTGCAAGCCAATGGAGACGGAGGGCACTAAAACAACAGACGCTCAGGACATGAGTGAAGAATCTGGCCATTGCCAGTACTCCAATATATATATATTTACAAAAGGTCGCGGGGCTACTGCCGTTTTAACCTCCGGAGAGGATTATAGGGATGGCTGGAGCTAGATAGGGATTGTGCTACAGGATTTGGATGATGAGTGAGTTTCTGGTGAAATTTGGAGAATTTGTCTGGGATTAGGTCAATAACAAATAGGATATGAAGGTCATTATGGAGGGTGGTTAAAATCTAGAAATTTATCTCGGGATGAAGTAATAGATTTAATAAATGGAAACAATTGGATAGCATTGGTAAATTACTGCAAGTCTGCTTTCTCCTATAGAATAATGCTCAGCAGACAATTTAACAATTAATAAATTGGAGAATTTTGGTACTACTTTTTTGTAATTAATATATTTATATAACTTTTATATTATAAATATAATTGTTCTTATTTTCTTATTAATTGGTTGTATATAAATAGATTGAAAAATAATGTTATAAAACACAGATCATGTAGCACGTCTGATTTTCGGTTTCAAATCCAAAAATATTATTTTGTATTGTCCTGTAATTTATATTATGTAATTTTAATTAATAAAAAGAATTTTTCTTATTCTTCTTCTCTTCAAAGATAACAAAAGAAGAGAGAACTGTGTTTGGTATTTAATTTAAATTTTGCACTAATTTTGGGATATTTCCAAAATTACTAATAAAAATAAATTTAAATATAATGAACTAAAAAATATACAACATAGAAACATCTGTATTTTTAAAATAAAATGAAATGGCGTGTGTAAGAGCAAACGTCCCCATACTCTGCTTTTTCCCCAGAAGGGATTCCCTCTTCCCTCCATACTCCATATTGAAAATATTAACCGTACTTCATGGAAGAGGTCTTATCCCAGGGCTGCTTGAAGTGCTGGTCCCTCGGCCCGTGGTAGTGCATCGTCTTGTACTTCTGTTCTATCCTCGGCAGGTACTTGATCTTCTTGCACCTCTCCTTCCTCGAAGGACCAGGACATCTGATCCCGTTCCTCGCAAGGATGGTCAGCATCGGGTCGATCTTGTAGACCTTCCTCTTTACGACCGGGCGAAACCTTTCGCACATGTCAGGTGCTTTGTAAGGCAGTTTCAAAAGCTCCGTGCAAAGCCTGCATGTGAAATATTCCCTTGTCTCGTCGAAACGCTTTCGGCATTGTCCCAGAGATTCTGTCTATATAGATATATATTGTTATAAGTGAATCATATATTAGTATTTTTATTTTATTTTAAATTCATGCATCTATGATAGTCGTTTATTTCCAAAGAGAACCAAAATAATTATTGATAATTTTTCAGGAAACGCGAAAAACTATATTTTTTTTTCTAATGTTTAATATCAAAATCAATATTTAAAAAAATAAATAAATTAAGAAATTCTTAATTTGCAGCACAGATTTCCGAAAAGTTTCGATTATATTAATAGTAATTAAAAAACATTGAAACTTAAATAGAATCCTTTTTTGGAATCAAATTAAATTTAATAACTGCTTTAGGACAAACAAAAATAATTTTGTATTTCGGGAAAAAAATGTTAACATTTTTTTATTATAAAAAACGATAAAAGAGGTTTGGATGATTTTTTTTTAATAATTAAGAAATGCAAGTATCAGTACCTTCCTTGAAAAAAAGTGCTCTTTTCTGCTTTAAGCATACCAGTGACATTATATTTTTCACTTTTCGCCTCTCTAACACGGTGTTAATATATAGCTTTAATTATAAAGAGGATGGGATGCTGGACATTTACCTTGCTTACAGTATGCAGTTCCGATTTTTAATTTCTAGAGGTTATTTTATACTTTGAAACATATTCCTCCTAAATAGAAATAAGACGGAATTCTGCATGACTTGGATAAAGAGTTTAGCAAAGTAAATAATTTAATTTCGCCACCGTCAGCCGTTATGTATAAGTCACCGTGGTTTGGATTATACGTAAAAATTTCGGTCTTTATTGACCTTACAAATTGCAATAAAGTAAAATAAAATACAGCCAGAGACAGCGTAAACGACAAGAGGGAAAAAAATGGCGTCCTCAACGAGGCGATAAATCTACTATATAACCATTATTAAACGACTGCAGCACAAGATAAAAAAACTAAGGTGCGTGCATCAGACCACACGATAGAAGTTAAAACATCAACAAGGCGAGATTAATAATATTAAATATAAATTATAAATAATAACTCATTACATAGAGGATGGAATCCTGAATATTTGCCGAAATTACAGTATGCAGGTTCGATTTCTAGGTTCTGGGATATTTTAATCTATATGTTCAACCAAACTCGTTCACTTTTTCGCCTCTCTAACACGGCGCCCCGTTAAGACAAACGGGTAATGCCAAATAATAATGCCGAAAAACAATAACAAGGAAACCATTTTAAATGTAAAAATAGAATTTATATTCACTTAATAACACAAGTCCTTATATACTTATACTTATTAAGTATATTTTTCAATTTACTGTTTCTCTGTTAATATTTTTTTAAATTCATTTAATAATTATAAATAGTGATTACATATGTTTGTTTTATATAATATGAAAATAAATGAATGTGCAATTTTAGTTGGCACACATGGTTATCAGAGATAACTGAACTGAATGCGAAGCTTACATAACTGTAGCTCTAGTAATGCAAACCTTTTACTGTAAAAGTTAGCATGCATATATATAAAAAAACAAAACAATCTATACTACTAAAACCCAAGAAGGGTTTTGGGTTCAGTAATAATTAGAGAAAGTGCTGTTTCTCGGACAAAGGATATGCATGAGGTGATTTGACAGAGATCACGCTCAACCGTCGCCCAATGGCAGATGAAACAGAATAAATAATTACTTGCCATCAGCCGGATTCGAACCCGAGACCGTCAGCTTTTGAAGTCAATGCCTACCTACATAGCAGCCCCGCTCTTTTTAATAAAATAAATAGCTCTTCTGGTACGAGCCGGGATTCGAACCTGAGACCTCGAGCATTGGGAGCTCAATCTACATATGATCTTTATTTATTTTAATTTTTTACTTGAACAAGATTAACCTAACATTGCTGTGCAATGTAAAATATTATAATAAAATTGTTTTCTAGTTAATCGAAGTAAAATATTTTTAAGAAGGAATTCAGAATAAAAGAAATGAGAATCAAATGACTTTATTTTGATGTGAATTTTGAGGTTAGGACAGGGTGAGGAGGCATTAGCATGTATAATGTCGCCATTGTTAGGACAGGACAGCCCTCTGGCAGGCTATTTGCGATTCATCCTACGTCTTGGTGGAAAGGGGGGGGGAGAGGAGAGACACCATAAGACCTATTGTAGTTACCATACCTATTGTCTTCTGTTCTTAATGTCACCATAGTGCCAGTTTGCTGGATGTAAACAATATGTGGATGAAGAAACAAGGTCATTGCAACGTATGTGGCTCATCTCAACAGTGTTAAATTATTATTAGTGACGTAGCTTAAGTTTGGCTACGCCCCAATGTAAGCGGTTTCAAGTGCGTCCTCTTAACTCCTTCTTAGTAATAGGACACAATTATAAAGAGAAATCCTTTTTAAGAAGTAGAATATTCATATATATCTATATATAATTATATTTTGAACATTTGTTTGAAAAATATTTAACATATCTTTCTACAAAATAAAAAAAAAATGACAAGAATGAGAATCACATGAGTTATATTAACTTCACGTTTTTAGAGAATGACATTATTATGATGAGCCATATACTGGTCATACAATTATGAAGCATAAAACATGTAATTTGAAATATGTACAGAAATTTACAATACACATGGGTAATTTGCCTCGGTATTCGTTCTTGAAACATGAAAATTACTTTTAAATGAACATGATATTAATTGAGCGATTGATCAAGAGTATCCATAGGTTTAGTTTCGAAGATCAAGCCTACTTACTTCTGAGGTTAATGGCTTGAAGATAAGTTCAACCTAGCTTTCTTTAAAGATAATAAGTTATTTTATTTAATTAATTAAATAGATCTTTTAAAATAAGAAGCGCGACAAAATCAATCCCTATTACGTTTACCACAACTATAACTATATAATTCTGTGAACTATAACTATACAGTTTTCCATTATGCCCGTTTATACACTGTGACCCCTTAAGGCTTGCATTACTAGTTCGTGGTACAGACCCCTTTTTATCGAATTATTAACAACCTCCTTAAAACTTGTTAAATAGCTTCATCTCATCGTAACCTACAAATATTTTATTTACAAAAATTCTCGGATTTAGGGAGTTTACAATCTGAGCTTGGCAAACTTTGTCTATTTAAATAAGGTAATGAAAAACTCATGAATACCCATTTGTTTTCCCCTTGATTCGTAAGATAATAATGAGATAACATGATCACAAAGTCGAACAAAAAACGGTGATTTAAAAATGACTGGGCTGTTTTTCGACTTCTACTCCCAACATTTCAAAATAACGAGGTTATACAGTCCAAATGGCCCAATAGTTTTGTAGGTCAATTTTTTTTTTTTTTTTATCATATTAATATATATAATATGAGCTCGAAATCAGGCTCAATAAAAGTGAGCAACTGCACCTTTCCAGGTCAATAGAAATAAGAGGAGTCCCAGTGAGATCTGGAGAGACCCCGATGGGCCTGGTTATGAGCGTGGGGGCGGGCCTGGGCCTTAGTCTAAAGGTGGAGGACATTGACTATGCAGAACGGATAAGAAACAGGCAAGACGATACACCTGGGCCGCTTGTGGTAAGGTTCGTCCGGCAGTCGCTTAGGGATGAGTTGATCCAGAGGCGAAAAGTCATTAGGGATTTTTCAACACGTCACCTCGGATGGCAAGAAAATGACGCCCACAAGATCTACCTGAGCGAAGCTATGTCCGTAACCAACAGACACCTGTACTGGCTGGCCCGGCAAAAGAGGTCTGCAGGAAAAATCAGGTACAGTTGGTTTAGCGCAGGCAAGGTGAAATGTCGACGAGACGATGGACAGCAGGTCGTCGTCATCAACTCACCATCAGATTTAGAAACGTTTGCTTGACATGCATATACATGTTACATCACTTTGAACAATTTTGTTTTTACTTTTTTATATCCCCAGTTTTATGTTTTTGTTGCGTTTGTTTTAATAATAGACTATGATAATAATTTCATTTTTGTTTATGAGAATATTTTAGGTCTGATCTGTCCAGAAACTCTAATTTGTGTATTTTTTTTCTTTTGCACAATAGGAATATGCTTTTCGTTAACTAAATTTTATATTTTTTGTTTACCATCCTTATTAATATCTAGGAGATCTTGCACACAATTGGCTCTAGCTGCTGTAGAAATATTCCTATCCTTAACTCCTTCTGTCCGTTTACCAAGCCACCCCTCCTTCTTCCATGACTAATATCCTTCTAACCTGCCACGTCAACGCTCAGTCACTCTTAGCCCATTTTGATGAATTTTACGACTTTTTTCTCCATAACTTCTACCATTTAATTGCCGTATCCGAAACCTGGTTGAAACCCACAATCCCGTCCTCCCAGATCCTTCTACCTAACTATACTCTCCTTCGTCATGACAGAGTAGATCGCACGGGTGGTGGAGTAGGTCTCTTTGTCCATGACAGTCTCAAATCCAAAATCCTTCACTGCTCTTCCATAACCGATTCTCCGCACGTTGAATACCTTTTCGCCGAAATCCTCACCACCTCATCTGCCATTCTGTTTGCTGTCATATATCGCCCTCCTAGAATTCCTTTCGATGAATCACTTGAGACTTTATTGTACAACTTAATCCCTTCCTACTCAAACATCATCCTCTCCGGTGACTTTAACACCAATTTACTGGCACCATCCTCTGATTATTCCTACCTAACAAACCTCTTTAATTCTCTCAGCCTTTACATAGTACCCTACAATCCAACCCATCATACTCAGTATTCAGAGTCCTGGCTCGATCTAATTATCCTGGATTCCTCAGACAAACTCCTTGCCGCATCTCAGCACCCGGTTCCGTTTCTATCTTCCCACGATCTTGTCCAGATCTCTTACAATGTCCCTGTTCCATCCTTTTCTCCCCGAACAATATCCTTCCGAAACCTAGATTATCTCACTCACGAAACATTGTCAGAAGGTCTTGACGATATCCAGTGGGATCCCATCTACACCTCAAAATCCATAGACACCATGGTAGAAATCCTAACCACTCAACTTCACTCTATCCTCGACCGACATGCTCCTCTTATCACAAAAACCATCCGATATCCTCCAGCTCCTTGGCTTACCCCTGCTTTGAGGGAGTGTATGAGAGAAAGAGATGCTGCAAGGCGACGGTTTAAACGAACTCGACTTCCTGATGATTTTCTCTCCTACAAACAGCTTCGAAATAGCACTCAATCAGCAGTACGCCGTGCTAAATCCCGTTACTACCATCATTCCCTATCCAACTCTCCCAATACCAAGGCTACGTGGGCTATTCTTAGAAAACTGACCATTGGTAATACACCCCAGTCTCAGTCCAATTCCGTTTCTGCTGATAACCTCAACGCTCACTTTGTCTCCTGTCCTCTTGCATCCACATCTCCCACGTCCAGTCTGGCTCCTATGTTCTCTTCCTTTAATCCTGATCACTTCTTTCTTTCCCATATTACACCAGATGAGCTCCTTAAATCCATTCAGAAGTCCCATACCAATGATTACGGTCCCGACAACATCCCAGTCAGACTGATTAAAGCCGCATTGCCATCCATTCTTCCGATCCTTTATCATATATACAATTATTCTCTTCAAAATGCTACCTTCCCTACATCCTGGAAAACCGCCCTAGTACGCCCATTGAAGAAGACTTCAAACCCATCAGTTCCTAATGATTTCCGACCGATTTCCCTCCTTTCAAACCTCTCAAAACCATTGGAGCGGTTAGTCCAATCCCAGCTATCCCATTTTTTAGAGGACAATAATCTCCTAAATCCCTACCAGTCTGGATTCAGGCCTGGTTATTCTACTCAGTCTGCCCTAATCAAAATTTCCCAAGACCTTCACACAGCCATAGATCAGCAGAAACTAACCATCCTTATTCTCCTAGACTTCTCCAAAGCTTTTGATTCAGTAGACCACAACATCCTCCTAACCAAACTTAAAAATATCTCTTTTTCTTCTAGTTCCCTTAATTGGTTCCAATCCTTCCTAACCGGTCGCTCCCAGTACGTTGTAATTCCTAATAACCCACCATCAGAATCTCTACCTCTGACCAGAGGCGTCCCACAAGGCTCTTCCTTATCCCCCACCCTTTTCTCCATCTATATAAATGACCTCCCATCCTCTATCCTGCACTGTCATTACCACCTGTATGCCGACGACATTCAAATTTACCTCTCCTTTAATCCGACAGATATCTCAGATGCCACTCAAAAACTTCAGGAAGATATTGACAGAATAAGTGCTTGGGCAAACCTCAATAGGCTCACTCTGAACGCCGAGAAGACAAAAGCCATCTTGATCGGATCCCCTTCACTCCTCAAATCCTCCCCAGTATCTCCCAATCTCTTCCTGAACAACTCACCTATCTTATTCTACACCACCGTTAAAAACCTAGGTGTTACTTTCGATCAATCCCTATCCTGGAAACCTCACATCTCCCAAATTTCCCGTCGCACTATCTCCACCCTAAAACAGTTCAATCGTCTACGATATCTCCTTCCATATAAGTCCCGTCAACTCCTAGTTTCCTCCCTTGTTTTCCCCCACTTCGACTACGGCTGTATGGTGTACGGTGGACTCCCGGGAGATTCCGAGGCCAAACTTAAACGCCTAATGAATTGCGCACTACGATTTGTTTTCGGAATCTCAAGGGATACGCATATTACCCAGTATTACACTGAGTTGAGGTGGCTCTACCCATCCTATCGCCGTCAGTACTTCCTAGCCACCTTTCTGTACCAAATTATTAGAACCCATCGACCCTCCTACATTTTTCACAGCTTACAATTCAAATATTCCATCCAATCCCGTCCCACCAGATCTCGTACTTCCGACCTCTATCCTCCTCCTCACCGAACTGCTGCGTTTGACAAATCCTTTGCAATACAAGCCGCCTCTCTCTGGAATTCCATCCCACCTGATATTCGACACGCTCAATCAGTTTCCTCGTTTAAACCACTCCTCTTTAAGCACCTACTCCTTTCTCAATCCGAATGATTGTGAAATATATCTTAGAGATATATCTGAGCACCACCAGAGACTACCTCAATTTATTAAGGTTATTTTAGTTTCTCATACATATGTACAATTTACTTGTTCTTTTTTTTCTCTTTTCTGTATTTTTATCGTAAGTCAACTTTCATTGTAAATATACAATTCCTTTGTAGCCACACAGGCATATAA